TCTGTGCTCGGGCTTTACCTCCCGCTTGTCCATGCGGGACCTTATCCCTTATGCAAACACACAAGCTTTTTCATGGGCGGATCTAGGATTTTGCAAAGTGGGGTGCAGACGCACCAGTGCACCCCCTGCCCCCAGATCCACCCCGAGCCTCGTTCTCCCCCAGGGCCAATTCAGTTGGCACAGGGTGAGGGGCTTTTCCTGCCACATCAGAGATCCAGGTTCACTTCTTGCCTGCTCTCTTGCAAAGAAGCCATGCATGCACATGCACCCAGACCCTTAAACACGTGTGTGCACACACACCCATGCCCTGTGAACACACAGGGTACACCTCTACCTGCAGGTTATTAATACTTACCTAAATCCTGCAAAGACACGTGCGCCCTTCTGCAAACTGACGGCCGCCTGATGTTTCTCTTGGCAGGTGGTCTACTTCACAGCCCTCTTCCCCTACCTCATCCTCATCATCCTGCTGGTGAGAGGCGCCACGCTGGAGGGGGCTATGGACGGCATCGAGTACTACATCGGGAGGCAGTCCAACTTCACCAAGCTGATGGAGGCGGAGGTGAGCCCCACGGCCGCCTTCGATCACTGGGATCCACCCGTCCATGCAACACCTCAAAGGGCACGGCAGCTCCGTGGTGTCATAAGAGCAGCTTGCTCCTTATAACCCTCCCACCTCCCCAAATCCTTATCTAAAATGATGCTAAACTTGCAGCAGCCCCTAGTTGTATGGGTGACCCGCGTCTTAAAAGCGCACCTTCCCCGGGACTTAGCTAAGGGATGAACGCGGGCTGGGGGTTTCTGGAGATCAGCAAGGGGAGGTGCTGGCTTGCCTATTCTTCAAGCCTTCGGTCCCTAAAACCAAGGTAACATTGCAGCTCCCGCGCAGGCCACAGCGAAGGGCACAGGACACGTAGTCACGGGTAAGTAGTGCAGTCACTGATGTAAAGCTGTTTGTGTTTTAGGTGTGGAAAGATGCAGCCACTCAGATCTTCTACTCCCTGTCCGTGGCTTGGGGCGGGCTGGTCGCTTTGTCCTCGTACAACAAATTTCACAACAACTGCTATTCCGATGCCATTTTTGTCTGCGTTACAAACTGCCTCACCAGCGTGTTTGCTGGGTTTGCAATATTCTCCATCTTGGGACACATGGCTTTCCGGGCGCAGAGACCCGTCTCAGAAGTGGTGGACTCAGGTAGGTTTGAAAGCCTCACCTGGTTTTCTCTGATTTTTAACACCTGATTTGTCCCGGCGGGTGCAGTCAGCGTGTGTCGGGATCAAGCACATCCAGCCCGTGATGGATTGAGATCAGGAGTGC